ATGAAGAAAGAATCTACCAGATGATAGGATACCCTGAGCTTGGCAACTCATTTCTATGACAGACCTTCAAGTCAGTGATGGCTTCTTAGGTTATTTCTGTGCCCTAATTCCTTTGTACAAACCAAGAGGGACTGAATTAAACCAATTATGCCAAGACTACTGATGTAGGAGAAGCAAACTGTTATGTTTAAGTCATGCTGCCTAGAAAGGCTTGGTCATACTCCAAATACCAAGCAGGGAAGATAACATAGTATGAAGGAAGGCTATAGGGGCCAGAGATCTCTTCCCATCCCCCAAGGGGGGCATGTCACTCAGATTCTTTTCTTAGTACTTACATAAGAAATAAATTTCAGTAATGAAGCAAATACCTTAAAGTGTTACTGGGCAAGCTTTAAAATGCAAGATAATAAGAACCAAATATTAGAACCATGAAGAAAATGCAAATACAGTAAGGAGAACTAAATTTGCACTAAAGTTTGTTGCTGTATCTAGATATTGAAATGTGTGTATATGTATACACTGCTGAGTATATTTTACAAAACAAAAGCAAGACACAGAGGGACAAAGGCAGCCAAAAATATATACAACAATTTGGTTTACTAAAAATATATGAAATTTATTTATTATAACGTGGATAGACTTTTTTTAGTCTTACCATGAAAGACACACAGATATAGCAAAGGAAGCAAGAGTAGGAAAGGGAAAAGAGAGGGGTGAGATGAGCATTGGTAAGTAGCGCAAGCTCGGAGACAGTCAGACAGTTACAACCCACAGTAAGCTGAATGAGCTGAGCAGCACAGACCACTTCAGAACTGGTCCCAGTACTGCAAGCCAGTTTCTATTCCTGACGGAGCTTACATTCTGTACTACCAGAATGAATTCCGACTCCCCAAGACCATGGATAAGATGTTGGCTTTGGTGTCCCTTCTTGGACATTAAAAAGATCAGAGAAAAGAGGGAGCCCTCCCATTCTGGTAGGTTGGGCTAACTGCCTTATCAGAGTCCTTGGAATCTGTTCTTTATTTTTTGGGGGGGGGAGCAGGGTCCCATTATGTAGCCCTGGCTGGCCTAGAACTCACTATGTAGACCAGGCTGGCCTTTAACTCACAGAAATCTTCCTGCCTCTGCATTACCAGTGCTGGGATTAAAGGCTTGCACAACCACACCTGGCTGGAACCTGTTCTTAAAGATGCTTGCGCAATTGTAATCAGATGATTACAGTTTCAAGCTTAGAGAAAAACCTTTACTACATATTAGTGTGAATGTTTATAGACACCAAAAAACTCAAAGGAAATATATAAGGGTCTTACTGATTTCTCTGAGGGTGTCTCATGTAGCTCATTTGGCCTTAAACTTACTAGGTAGCTGAAGGTAACCTTGAACTTCTGATCCTTCTGCCTTTATCTCATCCAAGTGCTAGGATTACAGGAATGTACTGCCATGCCTGGCTTGTAATTCAAGTTTATCCACTGGGGTAAGGCAGGTATGAGATTCTCAGACTCCATGGAAGGGTCTCTTTCAGGGAAGGGGATACTGGATTGAACCCAGGACTTTACATATGCCAGGAGGGTGCTCTTACACTAACCTACATCTTTAGATCCTGGTTTTTTAATAACTAGTTTACCCAACAATGGAGAGTAAGTCCTGTAAGACAATATCATGTCCAATCAAAGATAGTAATATATTGTCTTCACTTCTAAATTAAACTGTTGACCAGGATCTTGATTCCTTTATTAGTAATGGAAGTTCATATACTTTTATGACACATATTTACAAGATATTTGAGTCAAAAGCATGTCAAATTTTTAGTCCTCAATGCAGAGTAAATCTACTTAACCACTATACACATACAGCCACACATGAATCCTCTACTACACCGATGTTTGGGAGGCGTTTAAGGATTTAAATTATTTGCTATTTTAAAATACATTTAAATTCAGTTTTCCAAAATAGAAATAACTTTCCTTGAGGGTTGATAACAAGGAAAAACCAGATTAAATATGAGAAACTAGATTTAAAACTTTTTTACTTTTGGAAAAATTATAATCTTTATATTTAGTCATCAACATTAGCAGATTTGTTGTTTTGGTGGTGCTGGAAACTGAAACTAGAGCTTTGCCTGTGTTAGGCAAGCATCCCATCACTGAAATATATTTGCAGCCCTCTCAGCTTTTTCACATTTTGAGACACAACCAGTGTTCTTAAATGCTGAGCCATCTCTCCAGCTCCTGTTACATCTTTTTAAGTCATGAAAAAAGTCATAGGCTTAGTTATATTTTAAAAGACATATAATTTAGTCAGTCACATGACAAATAAAGACTAATGAAGCCTAGGATCTTTTATTTTTATAAAGGTAAGTGACAAACAAAGGCTACAGGCACAGGGAGAAGGTAACCCAATCTGAAGCGGAGTCTGAAACCTGTACTTGTTATTCATTTGCCCTGAGTCCTTGGCCAAGTTCTGATTTAGGGAACTTCAGTATCACATTTAAAATATAAACCCCATCATATCTTTCACTGGGTTGTTTTGAGAGTAGATAGTTTGTGAACTAAGAAGTATCACATAAATGTAGAGGGATTATGTGTATACACCAGCCTATTTTTATTCATATGTCCCTTTTTTTGAGAAAGCCATAGGAACAAACCTCATCATTTTTCATGTATCCTTTATAACCACTAATGGGAAGTTCTTTTAGTGAAAGGAGAGTGGATTTCTATAAAATTCAATACTCCTCACAGAGGACAGAACAGTGCCTGAACACAGGCACTAGTGGAGGCACACAACATGATGGTTATTGCCCACCTCCACCCTCTGGTCCAGGGAGGATGTTCCTCTGTCCAGGAGGAGCCAGGCCAAGGTGAGACACACTTGTGCATTCTAGAGTGTAAAGACCATCTTAGTGAATTAAATAAAAAGAAATTTAGATAATGAAAACCAGAGAGGGAAAAAAGGCTCCTCACAGACCAAGGCCCAATACCCTTTAGAATGTAGCTCCAGCAAACAAGTATGAGACATATCTATCAGTCATCAATGGGACAGGGAAACCTTTGCTCTGACAAGACAAAGAACTTCCTACAAGCATATGGAGTAATTCGTAAGTAATATATTTTGTTATTTGTTTTTTGAGACATAGTCTCAAGTTTGAGACTCGCCTCAAACTTGCTTGGTACCTGAGATGACTCAGAACTACTCCTGACTCTCTTTCCTCCCAAGGATTACAGATACGGTTTTGTTGTTGGGAGATTGTGTGTGTGTGTGTGTGTGTGTGTTTATTTTGGCCATAAATATTTACAGTGTATCAATCAACCCAGAGCCTCGCATATACTAAAAAAGCTAAGTTCTCTATTGCTGAGCTGCATTCCCACCCTTTAGCTTATTAAATTAAATTAAATTAAATTAACTAACTAATTTTTTTGAGACAGGGTCTCATGTAGCCAACACTGGCCTATGTAACTGAGGATGACCTTGAACTCTTCATCCTCCTCTTGTACTTCCTGAGTGCTAGAGTTCACGTTGTTGCTGAAATAGACATTTATTTAGAATTCTACAGCAAGACAGTCTATGAGTCTTGGCAATTCTGTGCATTATAAACCTGTCTGGCATGCAGGAGGAGCACAGAACTATCATAGGTATAACTGCATGATTTAAAAGAGCAAAGGCCAGGGGATGTATATGCATCAAGATTCTGGGCATTTAATTTCTTTCCAAAAGCACTGGGAAAGCTAAACTAGATTTCCATTTGAATATAATGAAAGGATAGTAAATAATTTTTAAGAACATAAACAGAAACACTTAAAATGGCATTACTCATTATTATTGAAAAATTAAAATTTTACATAATTGAAATCAGCACCTAAATGCAGAGCAACTACTATATATAAAATTATAGTCTACTTGTTAATAAAACTAGGAGGTAACAGCAGTATGAAACAATCTGAATTTAGAATGCTTCTAAGCAAATACAATAGGAAATGGCTTAAAAGTTTCAACATTTGAAAGTTTTTTAGATGAATTTCCCTAATTTGTCATGAACATTACACTATTGCATGCCACTTCTGAATTAAGAAGGCAACTGTTCTCTAAAGGCCACCACACACAGCACAGTCTGAACACACACACCAATAAACACATCAAGAAAGCCTACCTTTTTTTCATTTCTAACAACTGATTATTGAGTACAGATCTTTCTTCTTCCAGCTGAAAAACAAAACAAGGAAGAGTTCATTCAGTTAATAACAAGTCTACAGAGAGGCCCATTTCTCTATTTTACATCACACCCCCAGCTCTAGAACAGCAGAGGCCACTGGGTTTTTTCTTAAGAGTGAAGTCAGCAAGCAGTCACCTTACATAGACTACAGTTATCACTTTACAAATAGCTATGGCCTCATGACTTCCCATTTTTTGATAGGCCTAATAACTCAAAATATTAAATCTGATCATTTTGATGGCATATATTTTTTTCTTCTTCCTTGAGACAGGGTTTTACTATACAGCCCCAGCTTCCCTGGAACTCGCTATATACACCAGGCTATGCTGGAACTCAGAGAGATACATCTGTCTCTGCCTACATGTAGCCCTTGCTGGCCTAGAATTTGCTATTTGGCCAATGATGGCTTTGAACTATTGATCCTTCTGCTTCCAAGTGCAGGGATATCAGCAAGCCTCACCACATCCAGCCCTATATGGCACATATTAAGCTTTCAATAGATGTTAACAAACAACAGCTCCACTATTGGCACTCTGGTTGCTTTACTTAAATCAGAAAGTTGAGTGTCATGAACTTGCACAAGTCTAGGAAGAAGCCACTTGTTCTCAGACCCCACTGATTCATCCATTAATTCAACACACATTCAGTCAATGGCTACTGTATTCCAAACATCTGCTTGTCATCTACAAAACAAGGAGGTTACAGAAGAATTTCCAGTAGTTCTTTCATTCCGTTATAAATTCCTATTATTATTATTCCACAAAAGACAACAAACAATGGCTGCTTCCATGGCTCAGTAGGTAAAGACACTTGCATCCAAGCCTGATGATACGAGTTCAATCCTCAGGAGCCACATTGTGGAAGAACAAGAACTCCTGTAGACCTTCATATGCGTGCCTACACACATAGACATACACAAGATAAATCAATAAAAGATAATAAAAAATTTAAAAAAGATAAAAGACTCAGATAATCTTGTGAGGAAAAAGACATCTTTGCCCTTAGCCTGAAGCACAGAACACATTTTTGTATCAATTTCAACTCAAAAGAGGTACAAGCTAAAGTTTATGTCACAGCTTCCATTAGCCCAGAATTGAAGCAACTAGCTTACTCTGTGTAGCTGTAATCATTATTACTTATGTATCAGTTGTACATACAGTTTGCTATAAATTTTTCATCTATTTTGTTTTGCTTTAAAAAATTGTATTTATAGCCAGGTGTGGTGGCGCACGCCTTTAATCCCAGCACTTGGGAGGCAGAGGCAGGCGGATCTTTGTGAGTTGGAGGCTAGCCTGGTCTACATAGTGAGTTCCAGAATAGCTGGGGCTACAAGGAGACCCTATTTCAAAAAAAGACACACACACACACACACACACACACAATTATATTTATGTACTGTGCATATGCATGCTGTGCTAATTTGAGTACCACTGTGCCACAGCATATGTGTGGAAGCCAGAGGAAAACCTCTGGAAGTTGTTTCTTTCCTTCCATCATATGGGTCCTGGGGATCAAACTCAGGTTGTCAGGCTTGCCAGCAAGTGCCTTTACCCACCAAGTCATCTTGCAAGCCCTGCTTTGTTTTCCAAGATAGGGTCTCACTATGAGACTTGGATGGTCTAGAATTCACCGTGTAGATGGGGCTGGCCTCAAACCTGTGGCAATCTTCCTGCCTCTGCCTCCTGAGGCTGATATTTATAGGTGTGAATCACCATGATCAGCTTAAAAAATGTAAATATATATACATGTATGAATGTAAATGTATACTTCTCATGAAATCTAAAAGGTTAACATCCAGGCTTTCCACTGAAGGCTCTCCCCTTTCCTAGTTGTGGTTTTTTTCTTCTTTTTCTGGTCTTTTTGAGACAGGGTCTCCCTGTAGCTCCAGTTGTCCTGGAACTGCTGGCCTTGAACTCACAAAGATCTGCCTGCCTCTGCCTCCCGGGTGCTGGGATTAAAGGCGTGCGCCAAATATTTTATTATTTTATGTGTATGAGTGTATTGCCTGCATGTATGTGAGTACACCCATGTCATATAATGCCACGGAGGTCAGAAGAAGGCTTCGGATTCCCCAAGAACTGGAGTTAAGGATGGTTTGTAGCTGCCATGAGGGTGCTGGGAATCGAACCTGAGTCCTCTGCGAGAGCACTCAGTGCTCTTAACCGCTGAGCCATCTCTCCAGCTGAAGTTGTAACATTTCTTTCTTTTTTTGGTCTTTTTGAGACAGGGTCTCCCTGTAGCCCCAGCTGTCCTGGAACTCACTATGTAGACCAGGCTGGCCTTGAACTCACAGAGATCCGCCTGCCTCTGCCTCTCCAGTGTTGGGATTAAAGGTGTGCGCTACCACACCTGGCTAGTTGTGACATTTCTAAACCACATTATTCCTGAATTAAAAAACAACCAAGAGCAGACTTGAACTGCTGAGAACTTGTTCCTTCAGATGTGTCTGGAAACTGCTCCAGCAAGGGCTCATCCTTTTTTTTTTTAGTCAGGGGGTCTTTTGAGACAGGGTTTCCCTGTAGCCCAGGCTAGCCTCGATCTTTCAGCGATCCACCTGCCTCTACCTCCTGAGTGCTGGGATTAAAGGTGTGCACCTCCATGCCCAATCTATTCTTTATTGAAACAGTATCTTCAGCATGAACTGGGGAACTAGATGTCAGGATCCACTCTTATCAGAGAATCTTGCCCTTTGATCCCTAGGCCTAGAATATCACACACTCAGTTTCTCTCATTGTTTGCTACTTTTAGAGCTTTGATATGTAAAGTGTGTATACATATTCATATACTTTTTAATTATTTTATGTGTATGAGTGTATTGCCTGCATGTATGGGAGTGTATCCATGTTATGCAATGACATGGAGATCAGAAGAGGGCTTTGGATTCCTCTGGAACTGGAGTTAAGGATGGTTTGTAGCTGCTATATGGGTGCTGGGAATCGAACCAGGGTCCTCTGCAAGAGCAGTCAGTGCTCTTAACCACTGCACCATCTCTCCAGCCCCGGTATTAGTTAATTTTTATACCTCACCTTGTTCAGGTCACCTGTCCCTTGTATAATCTAATAAAGAGAGGTGCTGCATGGGATTGGGATGTAAAGGCCCAAGAGGCTTTTGAACAGGCCAAGGTACTGGTTGGGCAAGCTAAGCAGTTGTGTGTCCCAATACCTGGGTGTCCCTTCCTCTTGGAAGTCACCAGGAGCCCTGAGGGTTATGGGTGGGGCTTGTGGCAACAACAACCTGAACAGATGGTCCCAATTGGGTTCTTGTCCCAATCATGGAAAGGGGCGGAGTCCCAGTATAGAGCTCTAGATGGGTGGAGGGCCTGTTAGCCAAGTCCCTGTCAGAGGTGGCCCAAAACCAAATGCTGCAAAGATGGCATGCATATTTGCAACAGCAACGGGTAGTGTCAGCAAGCCCAATCACCAATGCCATGCAGGCAGTACTAGGACCAGTGTCACTTCAAGGTACAGAGCCTTTCCCTCCACCTCCTATAGTTGACCCTCCAGCAAGATCTGATCAAGTGCTAAAAGGGGCTCCCCCAATTCCGGCTGATGCCTGGTATACCAATGGCACTAGCAGGGGTGCCAGACAAGAATGGGTAGCAGTGGCAATAAGATGAACACTGACACTATATGGTTAGAGAGGGGAGAAGGAGAATTGAAGGAGAAGGGCTGAATTGAGAGCTGTATGGATAGTAATAAAAAGGGGAGCCTTGGCCAGTTATAATTTGTACTGACAGTTGGGTTCAAAGGCTTAACCTTATGGATAGTTCAGTGGGAGAAAGAAAACTGGCAGGTGATGGGATGGCCACTATGGGGACAACAAATGTGGAAGGACATATATAATAAAATGCAGGAGGAGCTAGTGCCCCTGGTGGTTTACCATGTGGCTGCCCACCGCCTGGTGAGTCCCCCGGGAATCAGGAAGCTGATGCCCTTACCGAGGTGAGGGCTGTTTGCCCTCAGGTTCTCCTAGAAGCAGCTCACTGGATTCATATCAAGTCGGGCCACAGAGGAGCTGACACGGGATGGAGAATAGCCAAAGCAGCCAGCATTCCAGTAAAATATGCTGACATCCAACAGGCTGTCCAGGCCTATGAGGTGTGTTCCTGGTTACGGCCCCAGAGGATGGATGCCATGATGGGACACGTGCACAAGGCAGCTTCCCTTGTGAGAGACTGGCAAGTAGATTATATAGGGCCCCTGCCAGTCAATGAGGGGTGCAAATATGCTCTCACTTGTGTGGACACTGCCACAGGCCTTACACAGGCTTTTCCTTGCAAGAGAGCAACGGGCAAGGCTACTACTAAGGGGCTTACTGAACTCAGTGTCATGTATGGGTGCCCGAGGTGAATTGATAGTGACAAAGGCACTCATTTCACAGGTACAGATGTGCAAGCTTGGGCTGAGGATAATCAGGTTCAATGGTATTCCCACCTTCCATACAATCATACAGGAACAGGGTTAACTGAAAGAAAAAATGGGTTACTAAAGGAGCAGTTGAAAGCCTTAAGCTCAGAAGGAACCCTACAGGGGTGGAAAAAGGCCCTTCTAGAAGCCATTAACGTTGTTAAATGAAAATCCCAGTACCGGGGTGGGTTGCCTCCCTATGAGCAGTTAACCAAAGGGACCCCAGAAGTCCCCCAAACCATAAAGGCAATTGCCAATAATGTTGGTTGTACACCTGAGGTGGACGTTAAGACCCTATTGCTGAAGACACCACATGATGTGAGTGCAGGAGAGGGAGAAATCAAGCTTGGACTAAATTGGAAACTCCCTGTCTATGGGCTTTCATAGTGCCAGAAGGCGCTATGCAGATGGCTGGGGGAGAATTGTCCCCCATTATCCTGTTCACCGAAGGACCCCGTGTGCTGCACTATCAACATGCGAAGCAAGATGTTCCTACTGGTGCAATAGTGGCTCGTCTAGTGTATGTACAACCAGCTAATTATCAATTGGACCTAATGTCTGCTCCTAGGGTTGGAACACACATC